GAAAACGTTTTTTGCTCGCCCTATGGGTTGGACTGGTTTTAGCCGAAGTGATTGATTAGTGAGCATGATTTAGATCTTCATAGCAATTGCTCTGGCTAGCGCCGGTAGGCGCCAAATTTCCCTTTGAAAACTTTTTTACGAACTTTCTTCAATCAAAAATTCAGCGCAGAGTTCGACTATTTGGAGCGCAAGCAGTGGGTAACAGAAGCAATCAGATTTTTTCCAAAATTGAGTATTGTATCTGTCAAGCATTTTTATCAGAGTCATTTGTCTTGGCTCTAAATGTTTTATCTGTGTTTTGAATAATTTTGATGTTGCTCAACTCAACGATGTGTCACAACATGATGATTCAGCAAATGCTTTCGCATAAGGAGTTTGAAGAAGTTATAACAGTGCATGGAAAGGTAGCTTAAAACATCATTTTCAAAAGGCAGTTGATAAACAATTTCTTGCAATTGCCGATTGAAAGTCAACTTGCTCTCATTACAAAGCAGCAAACGGAAAACCCTCAACAGAACTTTATGTAGCAATTGAAGCGCATAATGAGCACATATTCTAGTCAAATCGTTTCTCAAGGCAAAAGAAAGAAAATTCTAGAGACAACTGCAACTGAATTTCTGACAGAATAGTCTATGCACGTTTAGCACGAAATTTGAATAAGAAACGGATGAAACGATTTTTCAAAATGTTCATAACTTTCTAGAATTTTGCAAGCACATTACCTACTTATGTATAGCCGTGGTCCGTAGCTGCATTGTGAAATTTTTTTGTGTAAGCACATGCAGAGTGTGAAATCTGATTCAAAATCGTATTTGCGAAGTGGGTGAAAGGAGTTATCTTTTGGGGTATGAATAGGAGACCATTCTAAGGTACTTATTGGCGAGTGATTCTCTGGAGCAAGTAACGAATAGTTTAAATCCTGCTCATTATGGTTTAGAAGCGGAATTTCCTTTATTTGCAAGTGGTATACTTACACACTATATTAATCGAAATAGGCTGAATTCCCTTAAGATTTTGAGACTATTTTAAGTCTTATGAGGATTTTATACATAAAGGAAAACATTCTGACGATAACAGCGGTTTAGCCCCTTACCACAACTTCCATTAACAAACTAGGAAAGTTTTACTTCTCAACGCCCCTTCCGCAGATATAGAAGGCAGATTACAGGTAT